CTTTACCCTGTGATTCAGCTGACGGGTCAAGTGGTGCTGGCTCTCGCTGCTGTCGCCGTCCTGGCGCACCTTGAGGTAGTGGACAGCGTGCGCGACGTCCGGGGACTTGAAGCAGTCTTCGCCTCCGGCAACCCGTCCGCGATCCTCAAGCCCGACACGCTACAGCCTGCCAGCGCACCCATCCGCTTCTCCGAGATCACGCCCCTCGCGCTTATCGCGGTCCACGCCTTCTTCACGACCGGTCACCAAGCCGCGATACCATCAATCCAGTGGAAGACCGCATTCGTGCTCACACCGACATTGACGTACCCCTTCTCGCCGCTCCTCGTCGTCCTCAACACGTTTGGCCCACATTTCCTCATCGCGCTCGCGTCTCCACTTCTTGCGCTTTACAATGTCGCGCCGCTGCCGCAGCCCACGGCGGACGTGAAGGTGCGCAGGGACGCTGCCCGTGCCGCCCTTGGCATGATGGTGTATCATGCGGCGCTCCTGCTGAGCAGCGCCGTGTGCTCAGCGTGGCTCCGCCGGCACTTGATGGTGTGGAAGATCTTCGCGCCGAGGTTCATGCTCGCTGCCGTGACGGTCGTGGTGGTCGACGTAGCCGTCCTCTTTGGCGTCGGTGTGGGCGTTGGAAGAGTATCGGACGCTGTATCGAAGCTGTTCGTGGCCATGAACCCGAAGTAGACTCTGGCTGATGGCTGGCATGCTATCTGTCCGAAATGCTGCGGAGGCTCCCAGTCGCGTGAGTCCCACTCGGATAGTGTCTCTGTCGTACTGTACGTCTTCAGGGCCTGGCACAGACGATGACGCGAGGTCGACGTTCCGCGAGGCTCGCAGACAATTTCTGATCGGAGTTGACTATCTCGATGAGATGAGATAGCCTCGTTTCACACTAGCTAGACTTGGTAGTTTGGTCTTAGGCACCTGTTATTGTATTCCGCGCCCTGGAGAAAACCCCTTGGAAGCCGTCGATCACGGGCTCTCGTCGATCGAGCAAATCCGGCAGGTGTAGTGTTCGAGATGGACCCCGATGAGAGCGACCAGCTCCTGGAGGCTTGCGTTGAGCGTTTTGTCTCCGCATCTTATTGTCTCCATGCTCGCGCTCCGGTCTGCCGGAACAGAGGGCGGTGGCGGCTACGTGTAGCGCGCGAAGCGAAAAACGCGTAAACTCGTGAATCGACAAAGTTTATGTCTTCGCATGCTCCGCCACTCTGGTAGATGAACATGGCCCGTGTAGCCTGATCATGGCCACATGTCATCGCATTTCGCAGTACTCGTTCCGTTGAACTTTTGTTTCCCTTCAGCCTTCCAACACCCGGCAACAAGCAGTGCTTGGAACCCTAGAGCCCCCCGCCTTCGTCTTGTCTTCACCCAGCGACCAGTCGCACATCGCAATTGCTCGTCACCGGTCACCGCCCATGGGCAGCATACGCATCCCGAACTTCCCAGCCCTCTGCAATGCCCACTTTGAGCTCCGCAGCAACCCGCACTGCCGCCACGTCACGCTCGCGTCAGAGAAGTGGGCGTTGTCGACCCCACTCTTCCTCGACGCGGACGAGGAAGCACGCCTCCCGGGCGCACGACTCGGCCTACTCGCCGCGTTATGCTTCCCCTCATGTGATGCGAGTCAACTGCTCGCGATTACAAAGTTCCTCATTGTGATCCTGCACTGGACGGATAGGCCGCGGTCGTTGTACGCGGATGAGGAGATGCTCGACCCGTAAGTAGCACTCCTCACACCAGGCGCCGCTCTTAACGCGTCAGCAAGAGCGTGTTCGCCTCTTAACATGCCAAGAGGCGACGTTCGGTAGGAATACAACTCCCGGATACAGGCTGATCATCCTTCTGCAGGATATGGGCGAAATATTTCCGACCGACCACGCGTCGGGATTGGCAAAAGCGCTTCCAGAGACACCTCGCCGGCTTTCGTCTCAAGCGAGCTCTTACCGCGCAAGATGCGGCACAGGGCGTGTCTCCTGATCTCGAATCCTACATCAGCCTCCGACGCGACGCGTGCGGGGTCAAAATGCTTCTCGACATGATTATTTACGCCGGAGACCTCTTAGTCCCTCAGTACATTTACGACCACCCCATCATACGGCGATTACGACAAGATGCTGCGGACATAATCGCGTGGTCTACGGTAGGCAGCCGTTTGTCTATGAAGGCTAGAGGGACTGAGAGCCATGCAGGACGTCGCAGCGTATGCTCAACGACCACATAGTGGGAATCTAATCGCAGTCATAATGAACGAAAGACGGTACACCGCCCAAGCTGCTGCACACTTTGCTGGGAACCTCGTGAAGGACACGATAACGAACTTCCTCATCAACGAGGCATCGTTGCCGTCGTTTGGCGACTGGGATTGCGAGGTCAGAGCGTATGTCCGTGGCTTACGGGACTGCATCGTGGGTACCTTGAACTGGCTCTACGAGACCGACAGGTACTTTGGCGATGCCGCCGAGGACGTGCGCGCATCGGGCTGGGTGTTCCTCTCATGACTCCTCACGCTTCCTATCGACCACGATCCGGATGATACCATGCACTTCGGATACACTTTCAGAGATGTCTTGCCAATATCTTCGTTCACTCACCAGTTTGCATCGCGAGTACACTAGTGGCCATCACCGCGGAAGGACGATCCCATTCGAGCCTTTGTATCTAACAATTATCATAGATGTCCACGCACATTGACCCCACAAAGGTGCCTAATAGTCATTTACCTCTTTCGCTGAGATGCTGGTACTGGGATCTCTATAGACATGTCCGTCATCATCGCAATGGAGTTTATTTTCCTTCTACAATCCGCCGGCATCCGCATATATACTATGATATCTCCGATATTCAATGAATACATGTATGTAGGACACCACCTGCACACTCAAACGCCATATGTTCTGCACTCTCATTTGTGTCATGCACGAGCCTCTCGGCAATGCGCGAAGGAGAGAACAGAGAACAAATCCATGCGAATCGACTACGCTATGTACTGTGGCCGCAGCACCTGCAAAGCCGCGCGCTTGCGCAGTACTAGCAAGTTGTACTCGAACGCCTCTCTGCATAACGGTGAGCATTGTCTGCCGGGACCACGCAGATACTGACTACTCGCACGCTTTGGGATGAAGCTTTGGTCAGGTTGATACCTGCTGTACCTAATACCTCGGCCCGGTGTAGTATCTGCCGTTTTTGAAGATATCGATAACACCGCTATAAACTGAACCTGGCCGTCCTTCTCTTTCGACAGAGTCGAGCCCGGGCCTAGCCATCTAGTGAATGCAGGAAGTGTACAATCACTGAGGCACTTCTTCACTCTTTCTGGTCCTCGGAGTAAGTTCCATGGTCTGATCAGTTCACGATCGTAGTCCCCATGTACTGAATATCGTGGCAGGATTCAGAACGATGTCTCGAGGCCGTTGGACACCGAGCACCTCCTCACGCTCTACAAGCAGCTATGGCCAAATGATAGAGCCGATCCGAACCATTCCTTCTGAACAGCTGGAACAGTCGAGCACATCCTTGCCCTCCTCTCCAGACATTCTCGGCCCCGTACGCGAACAAGTCGCGGAGACCATAGTATTGCGTGCGACACGCGATGCTGAGACTGTGGATCGTACCAAGGTCGGCGTCGTCTTGACATTACCCTACGCTTCCGGGGAGGAATTCCTCCGCACGGTAGCCTCCGCCCTCGAGCACGCTACCTTGCTGAGGCAACAGCCCTATCTCTTCATCCTCGCCTTGCCCACCATCGGGACGAGTCCCCTTCTCATCTGCGGATCTTCCGAGGACTTGTCCGAACGCGCCGGCACTCTGGTGAAAGCAAAATTCCTCAACCGTGTTCAGCGCTACGAGCTCCGGCACGGGCGGTGGGGTGCCCTCATCCGCGACTTGTGTAGCACGACATACGATGAGGCCGCCCTCTGGGACGCCGTACGGAAGGCAGCACGTGAGCCGATGGACCCACTCATCCCTCCACCCGGTTCTCGCAGTATCCAGCAGATCCTTGACCAGGCTCGCGCACGGCTGCAGAGGATCACCCCTCGGCAGGCCTACGAGGAAATACAGGACCCGACGATCCAGTGGCCTGTTGTGCTCGTCGACATCCGTCCGGAAGCGCAGCGTCGGGAGTTCGGGAGCATCACCGGGGCAATCGTCGTCGAGCGCAACGTCTTGGAGTGGCGTTTCGACCCGCGATGCGCGTACCGCCTGCCGATCGCGGACAGATACGACTTGCGCGCGATCATCTTCTGCCAGGAGAGCTACACCTCGTCGCTCGCCGCCGCGTCGCTGCATGACCTAGGGCTACTCAACGCGACGGATATGATAGGGGGCTATGCAGCTTGGAAGGAGGCGGGATTGCCCGACGAAGTCGAGATGTCTTCAACAGCTCCGCCAACAGAAGGACGTCAGTCGGTGCCCGTAGACGTGTGATATTTCTTTCCTCTAGTATGATGGCTACCTAGTGTCTCCAGGCGAGCTTCCTGTTCCTCCTGAACCTTCTGCTCAACCATATACGTCACCTCAATACATCTCGATTCGCAGGTCTGTCAATCGTGGCTACCCTCTCCCAGAACGGAATTGCAAGACCTCAGCGGAACATCTGTTTTGGGGCAGCTCCCAACGCGTCCACCGGACGTGCATCAGAGTACGCAGGTCCGGGAGGACACCCTCATTTCCCCCCAACATCGTCAGCGGCGGTGTCCATCGAACACCGCCTTCGAGGGTCGTTGATCGTTATAGACTCGTAAATTCGATCACGAGCAAAGACGCGCGATGAGCAAGAAGGGTCCACATCGCAGAGATTATCGTCTCCACGAGAGAGCAATTCTGCGTGCTGTACTGGCAGATTGTGGAACTGCGTGAGTTCTATAGATAAAACTGTACTGAATGAATCCTGGCGTCCTCTGGTCAACGCTTGAGCGTACAGTGATTCGTGTCGGTTCAAAGAGACAGCGTTAAACCAAGAAATGCAAAAGCATCCCTGCGGGTGTGCAAAGAAACTCTGAGTCGGCCGGTTTGAACTGAGGACGTTCAGTGTGTTAGACAGATCTGATAACCAACTACGCCACTGACCCATCCGATTACAGGCCAGGCAATGATAGCCAGGCCTCTAGGAGAGTCAGCCGTATAGTCCCATCCCGCGGAGTTTGCTCCCCTTTGATCAAACAGCTGAAACGTACGTGCTATAGGGCGGATAGCGGACAGCGAATTGAATAGGTACTACAATCATGCATGATGCAATGCAGGTATAAGTAAACACAGCTTCAGGGACGTCAATCGCGAGGGCCCGTAAGTCTGTCTAACCACTCAGATTTTAGCAGAGAGTACATGTCATCATCTCGATCTCTCTGTATGACGGAAACTCGTGGTGACCGCGAAAGAACTCCGCCAGCTCTGTCTAGTTCGTGTAGGGAAGCGAGCATCTTTTCGTGCATGTGCCGTATTCCACGCGACACGCCTACCTTGCGCGACACAAGATCAGGCAACGAGCGCGTCTCTGCTATCACCGTCTGTAGACTGGGGGGAGGGTGGCCGGAAACGGGGAAGACCTATACGAGACATCGTCATCTTCGCCACGGATGGCGGCCTGCAGCTCCTCGGCGAACGACGCGGCAGCGACGAGGCCAGATATTCGCAAATGCGCCAGCGAAGGACACGCGGAGTCGAGCGCGCCGAGTTGAAGGAGCCCATGAGGATTCCGGTTTCCCGACAGGTGCAGTCGTTCCAACCGCGGCATGGACCGAGGAGAGTGGGGGAATGGGTAAAAGCCGTGTACTGCCAGTTCGGTCAGGTGAAGCATTGGGGTAGAGAACAGAGCACCCAGGAGGGGTGGGCCGGTGAACGGACAAGAAGCGACGACGACGAGTGACTCGACGGTCGGCGCGGCGAGGGTGAGTATTCGCAACGCGAGCGTCTTCTCCAACTCGTAGCGATCCTGAGCCTCGTCTGAGACTGCCACGACGCGTTCCTTCGTTTGACTGAGAGACCAGTCGGAGAGAAAGAGATGGCGGATGCGTCGCAGGTGGGGAGGAGTGACGTCAAGGCGGGTGACGAGCTCGTTCATCTGCTCCATGCCTGAGATGGCGAGCGATTGGTAGAGGTACGGCGCGGAGACGTCGCGAAAATAGCGCGACACGAGCGCGAGAGAACGAGCGGTAGATCCATCGTCCGTACACGCGAACTCGAAGATTTGTGCGTGCAGCTCAAGAGGCAAGGCTTCCATCGTCGGAGACTGCTGACTGGTAAGATGCAACGCTGGATGCGGGGGAGATATACCTGCACGACCATGGCGGGCTCATTTGTTTTGTACCTACAACGGCGCAAATCGTCGACCTGCGATTGCGCGAGGATGTTGCGCGCTGACGTGCCGGTGTCACGTGATCGGCCGTTTTGCTCAATTAGCGGTCTGGCATTCTCGCCGAGGCAGTACAGTACTCAAGAGGATGACAGATGCAATAGGCGACATGCTCAATGGACTCGGTGGGCGGTACCTCTGAGAAAAGACCGCAGCAGTCAACATTGACTCGAGCTTCCGGAAGGCTGAGATATGTCAAGTGAGGAGGCGTGTTACGGCATGGCAGCAGTACAAGAAGACGACTTACGAGAGGATCTGTGGGATTGTGACAAACTCGAGGCGTTCTGCGCCTTCTCAATTTCCAGTGTGCCAAGTCAGATTCTGCTTTGACAGCGTGAGAGGACTGTCCACCGACCTGCTCATTCGCGTTCGACGGGACAAGGCCGTGGCAATATGGTCCGACATAGATCGAACTCCAGGACTAGTTGGGCTTCCAGTGCGAATCAACCTTCCACGCATGCGATCTCTATATTTGGGGCTTAAAGCAAGGAAGAAAAGCAGTCCTCCACGTTGGTCGGTAACGAAGCCCCGTGTGTTCGCGCAGTACAGTCAGTACATGTGCACGAGTCCCTGAAAGGCGCTCTCGAGCTGAGTAGTCGGCGTCTAGCCGGCTACGGTTGATGGCACGGGACCACCATTGGACCATCGAAGAGGCGCTTCCGCCTTCGGGAGTCTCGACTGTCGAGATTCGAGAGACGAATGACCGGTGACAAGCTCTGGAGCGCGCTCTCACTCTCCAAGTGGAAAGTTTGTGATGCAGACGGGTCAGCGTATTGCGCATGAATCAGGTTCGAGACCTCACTGAGCTCATGCCTTCAGTGAGTAACGCTGACAGACATGGTCTGGAAGGTTTGCCGCAGTCCCCACACCACGGTTCGAGATGACCGGCAGTGCTGCACCCGAGCCTTGACAATTTAAAGAGCAGGATGGAGTTGGCAGAACTCGTACAATACATGGAAATGTGCTATGCCTGTGCAGTTCGCTCCTGAACATCAGGATCCCGAGGAGAGTCGTGCATCAGCTTGATTGCATTGGTCCGCCGCGCGTGCTTGAGGAGGTAGATCATGGATGAGGGCGTCATGCCCTCCATACGCTTTGCGGCACCCTGACCGCGAGCCGTGATGAGCCTCTGCAAATGCTGAAACGCCGACACACTTACAATACTCGTCGGGCGGACCTTGAAGAGACGCTCCTTCACCTCAGAACTCAACCCCTCAACTGTGTTGTAATCCAGCTGAGGATCGAGCGCGAGGGACTCGTCTTCCATGAACACCCGGAGGTCCGCTTCCTGGCGGCGGAGATGAGAGCTGTAGACGGCTGTAGACGATGTATGCATCAATGCGTGACGGAAATCGGGCAAACAATTCTACGCACCGTCGGTCTCGACGCGTGTCAGGATGTGCGGATGCACGGAGTTCAGTTCGGGTAGAACAGCAGTGAGAGATTGTATTGGCACGTTCCGGTGGCGAAGCAGCTCAAAGGCGCTGTAGCGTCAACATTAATCAACGTCCGTACTGAACAAAGCGTGGAAGAGGTTTCGGACCTCTTCATGGCGCCATCCCGTTTCCTGTCGAACCCATAGCTCTGCCATCCCTTCAGATAGGCTTCAGCACGGCTACAAGTAACAACAAATACAGTGACCGACCTGGGGGCTCAGAACGAAGGACTGAAGCATTTCGGTGACCCGCTTAATCTCCGCGCGCGTGGCCTCGAAGCGGTACCAGCGCGCATCGCCCACAGCTCCAGCGGTTCTTCCTGCAAGTACATAAGGATCGGTGCAACACTGCTCCATAACGGCCATATATACCTTTCTCTGTCAAGCGCAGGTCGGCGTTGTCGCTCCTGAGCGTCATCCTATATTCCGACCGCGAAGTGAACATTCGATCTAATACAACAGTCAGCGCCTGTACCGCCCGAGCCATTCAGGAGACACAAACAAGGTTCTTCCGCGCCTTTGACGATGAGGTCGTCAATCATGACGCCAATGAAGCCATCTGCTCGTGAGACGACGAGCGGCGGCTTGTGCAATGCGGACAGGCCCGCGTTAATTCCCGCTATCACTCCTTGGCCGGCGGCCTCTTCGTAACCGGTCGTGCCTACTGGGTCTTGAGTATGGCTCGAAGATTCGGGGGATACGAAGGCTTACCGTTGATCTGGCCGGCGAGGAATAAACCCTGTGAAAGCCGTCAGGGCATGCATAGCTAGAGGATAATCGGATGACCAACCTTGATGCGCTTCGTTTCCAACGTTGCTAGACAATATCAGCTGCGTGAGTTTCGTTAAACAGTGAAACAACTACAAAAAACCTACGTCCGAGCTCCCTGGCATCGATGTGATCGTATTCAACGCCATAGGCAGGCCTGACCAATTTGACGTTCTCCAAACCAGGTACGGAACGATACAGCGCCTCTTGCACGTCCTCCGGCAAGCTACACGATAGCCCATTAGGATATATGAGGTCTTCGATGCGGGTCAGCATGTAACGCTAGACTCCGGAAGGGCGTCGGAAATATACCAGAGCCACATCCTTCGGGCTCAAGCCATACTATGTGCGAGGACTTCTGAGGGAATCGCATCACTTTTGCCTCTAACGAAGGACAGTAACGCGGGCCTATATGGAGCAGCCCTGATTAAGACATACGCTATGCGTGGATCGATTGAGAAACATGCCTTTCTTGGTCTCTTGTATATGGACGCAACGACCTATATTGGCTCTAACGATGTCATGCGTCGCGGGAGTCGTCTGCGTTTGATAACAATACAATTGGTTGTCCTATCACTTGACATTAAGCGCCATTTGCTTCGAACAAATGCGACAAGCAACGTACCGCATTCGCCACCGTGTCGTTCAAGAAACTGAAGGGGACGGGATCCGCGTCGCCCTCCTGAACCACGAGGGATGAAAAGTCAATGCTGTCCTTGGCAAGGCGGGCAGGGGTGCCGGTCTGCAGGCGACCAAGGCGGAAGCCGGCTGCGCTGAGCGAAGCGGATAGCCCAACTGACGGGGCTTCGTTCATACGACCGGCGGGGAACCGTTTCATCCCTTTACGGCACATGAGAAAAGGGAAAAGTGTTGCGGGTGCATAGAACAAACCTATGTGAATCTCGCCCGAGAGAAACGTCCCGGTACATATGACGACTTGCGAGCAAGTGATCACTTCGCCTGAGTCTGAGAGCCATGCCGTCAGGTCCATGTCAGCGCGATCCCGTCAAAGTGAGAGACGGACCTAGTTTGACCCCTTGCACAACTGAGCGTGGTAAGTCATGCGACATGGAGAGTGGTCCAAGAACCAGGTCGAACACACTCCCGGCTCGGATATCCAGATTCGGGTAGCGGTGCAACGCCTCCTGCATGTGCTCCTTGTACAGCTTCCTGTCGACCTGTGCTCTTGGGCTCTACAGCAGTAATATGAGCATCCGAGGACCCTACAGCGACATGCTAAGCAATACAGACCCACACGGCCGCGCCCTTCGAGCGGTTCAGCATCTGGAATTGGATACCAGCAGCATCTAGATGAAAACAGTGAACTTCTCGCACAGTGCACCATTGCTACAGGAGGTTTCACCTGTGACTTTGGCACATAGACCGTCGAGAGCATCGACCTCGCGCATGAGCGTGCCCTTACCGACACCTCCCATGGACGGGTTGCATGACAGCTCCCCAATAGTGTTCAGGTTCTGAGTCAACAGGAGCGTCCGAGCCCCAGTTCTTGCAGCGCC